CAGGCAGCATGCATCCAGTACCCCGAAGGCTCGTGCATTTTTGAAGTTTTGAAGCGTCAGCCAGAGTATTTCAGCGAAATCAGGGCACTGGAACCTGCACCTCTGCCTGGCATTCACTTGCCAACGTGCGATCCAGTTTCTGCTGGCAATCGACTACAGGCTATTTATTTACCGCCAAACTCCGCCATTGTGGCCTGCCACACAGGTCCAGCTTTTCGCGGTAGCATCTAAAGTGTACGAAAACACTTTGGTGAAAGTGGATTGCACCACTCATGTCGCGAGCATGAGAAAACCTGAGTTTTGAATGGGGATTTTGGTGGCGAAATCTGCTCTCCTAACTATATACCCTTCCAAGCACCCTGCAACTTTAAGCAGCCCTCCAAATAATCCTGGGCCATACAAGTCGCGATCAAGCAACAGGTTTGCTGACATCCAGGAAGGCACAAGGGAGGAAAACTGACTCCATCAAACACGGAGATCTTTCAATAATACTGATCAATATGTATTGGCAGTAATTGCAGATGTTCGAATTCAGGTGTGTGTGTGTGTGTATGTGACTGTATGTGTGTATGTGACTGTATGTGTGTATGTGACTGTATGTGTATATGTGACTGTATGTGTGTATATATAATATATATATATATATGCAGCTGTCCACACATATCCGCACATATCCACACATATCCACATGTAAATATGTACACACACAAATATTATATCCATATTAGGTGTACCTACTATGTATACATGTATATATATATATACACATGGGTATATATTCATGCGTCAACTTCCAAATGCAACATGCGCACAAATGATTTTTAAATTGGCAACGTGTGTAATTCGCACCCATGATCGGCAACTGTTGTGAGCAATGACGCGCTTTACATCGAGGTCCAAGCTTCTGACTCCCAACATCAGCCCAAGGCTTTTAGCAAATGGCCACACGGGCGTCAAAATCATGTGACTGCACGTTGCTGGCGCATCTTGGTTTGCGTGAACTGATTGAGGGCTCGCCATAGCTCAACATATCCACCATCCATGCCCTTTAGTCTGACCTCTGCCATTCTCCCCTCGACCCTTCAGCAGGGATCCTTACACTATACACCTGAACATTGCCTTGTAAATGGTTGTTTCCCTTTATTTCGGTGGAAAAAGCCATGCTTCAAATGGGCAAAATGTATCTGTTAAAGGAGCCCTGTTCAGATTTCAAAACAAATCCCGCGAAGCTGAGGCCATGTCACCAAGCCGCAAAAAGTTTCGGCGGAGCTTTTGACCAGTTCGTCCTGACGCCGAATCGGCGGATCGAGGGATCGAGGGATCGTGGCCAAAACCTCTGCGAAAACAACGGGCGCTTTTCAATCTTGAGCCTCTGGATGGAATGTGTCGTTGAATGGACATTGTGTATGATTGTCTTTGCTCGAACAGGATGGATGAGAACCAGCTACACGACTTGTTCCAAATTCCATGCTTTCCTACCGAGCGCGCCGATAATACGGGTGATGGCACGGCATCTTGTTTCGGTCAAGGATTACTTGGGGGGGAGGGCGTGGTCTATCAGTTTCAGATTCGGTTGTGGTTGGTCCAAACTGGTTTGAAGCTGATTTGAAGGCTAAGTTCCGTTGCTTCACGGTCGGACTGGCTTGGAATTGAGGGTCTGCTTGATGCGGGCTTGCGGCGGCCTCAAGAGTTCGGGGTTTGTTCTGGGCTGGATGTGCGAAGCCAAGTGAGGGGATCAACTTCTGTTTGAGGTTGGGCGTGAAAATGGGTGAAAGGATGTATAGGCCCGCGGTTTTCCCATGAGCTCCACAAGAATTCATTGCATGCGCTCACTGCGAAAGAGTCCACGTTTGAAACAAAGGCCTCTCGACAGGCCCCAGACTGACGGAACCCATGGAGGCCTCCCTACCGGCGATGGCATATTTTTGGTGGCCCCCCAAAATGATGGTTTTCCGTTTTAAGGGGGAACATCAAAATACGAAAGCCAATATTTGCCTCAAGTCTGCCAATGCCAACACGTGTTGCAACTCAAGGGACGGCAGCAAGCTGTGCACAAACACACGACACGTGGCTCCGAACTTTTTTGCGGGTATGTTTCGCGCGACGCGCCACGAATCTTCTTACGGGAGTGTGAAAAGGGGGTCCTTGGCACGCAGGTCTGCGAAGGATTTTTTCTTGATGACAAGCATCAGTATCAGTAGCACAATGTGGCGCAGAACAACAAAGTGCTGCAGCTCCCGCTCGAACGTCGCAACTGTTCAGTGCAAATGCAAGGACGCAAAGCATGCCTCCGCAGCTCCAGCTTGGAAATTTGCAATGCTCAACGCAAGCCAAGCGGTGGCAAAAAGGGGGGCCGCTGGGTCTGTAACGAGGCGCGTAAGAGTAGCGAGGTAAAGCAGAAAGAGTTGTTCGCTTCCGGCCCCTGTTTCAACTTTCTGTCTGAATGACAAGCTCTCTGCAAGTTGGCTCTTCAGCAAAAGCGTGCTCTGCAAAAGTCTGCTCTGCAGGCACCCATAGGAAATCACTGAGAGTCTGCGCATGCATTGGGAATTTGACGAGGGGCATACAACCAGCTGAGCAGTTTGTTCACGTGAGGCAGAGGTCTGCAACGAGGTCTGTCACGAATGTCCGCCGCAGCTCTGTTGCAGATCCCTCAAGAAAACACTGCCACATCACACAAACACACGCACAAACACGCACACAGCCATGCACAGCACAACTGGAATGTATGACTCAATCCCCATTCAGTCCTGTTCTTCCATCCCATGCCGAGCAGTCGGACAGGCCGTATTCGGCCCGGCAGCGAAGCAGTACGAGATAGCACGAGGAAAGTGTTGAACAGATCACCAAGTGGCGCTTTGGAAGGTCAATCTTTAAAGGCACTACTGATGTAAGCGACAGTGACTGCAAAAAGTACTGCTGCCACTGCCACTTTGGCAGACATCTCCTAATACCTTTCCGCATCTTGGAAATCATGAGCCTAATTTGAACTCCGAAACAAGTGGGAAAAGCCCCTTATGAAACGAACACACAGTAACACAGCGTCTCGCACGTATCCAGCTATTTCATGCTGCTTCAAATGGTGCCTCAAACATGCAGGCATACGTCGTTGTTAACCGTTTCCAATTCATTCTATGCCAAATTCCGTGCTAAACCCGATCAAGTAAACACATTGAGACACGCGCCACTTGGGTCTTGAAAGAATGCCTGCGCCACAGATTTGATCCGTATCGTTGTACCTTGCCTCAGCTCAGACCCTGCTTCATCTGAGAGCTGCTCCAGAGCATGTTCTTGGCCTCCCTTGGAGATCAAATCGGATTCCATCGCTATATACCTCCAGAACTGCCAAAGCAAATCAATGTGGACCACCGAGAAACCATGGTCCGAGATTCACAACGCGAAGAACTACCATGAATTCCGGGTGAATCTGATTGTACAGCAAACTCATAGTCAATTATCCTCCGAGAAAGTTGGCAAATTGTTGACATAGATTCACTTCAGATTTGGAAGGGAGTCTGCTCGCGAGCTCGGAGACCTCTCTTGCAAGGATGAAGCTCTGCAAGGCCAAAGTTAAATGCGACCCAACGGACAGGCACAGCCAGCTGACCAGGCCTGCCTACAGAATCGCAAAACTGGACCTCATGGGTCGCGAGTTTGTCGGGCGCGACTCAAATTGATGTGGTCCCTGCGATGGCGCTCAGCCAAGCTGGACTGAAATTTATGATTGTCCACTACGGGCATGAGGCATAAGCCCATCTTGCAGAACCTGTGCTGCTGTGCGCTCTGAAAGGGTTTTCTACTTGCATGCTGTGCAAAAAGCTTGACTTTTTGCTGGTCAAAAGGAAATATGAAGGGAAACCAAAAAGTTTAAGTGTAAACATCCAACCAATAGCGTTAGAGTCTAGGTCGAGTGGGGGCTGCACCAACTCTTGGTGCAGGAACCCGAAGCACACAAAATCAATCTTATTACCGGTCGATCGTCGGTTGGCTCGGAGCAACCCTGCTTTGAATCCTTTCAAGAGCGGGGTCAGAGGCATGTACGCAGTCATCATTCAAGGGCCAGGATAGACTGCTTGATACAGATAGTCCTGGCCGACATGCTTGGTAAACAAGCGAATGGATCCAAAGGACACACCAAAAGTGCGGGCAGATTAGGCATAGGACTCACTTGCCCTTGCCAAATGCATCGTGTTGAATCAATAGTCAAAGGCAGTCAACGGAAGTTTGGAAGGAACTTCCGTGGTACGGCAACTAGTTGAAAGCTAGCTCTCCGGAAAGATGCGTTCACGTGTGGCGAGGAATACTCCTGTGTTAACGGTGCAACCCTCTGCAGGTTTCGAAGATAGAAAGAACACAAGGAGAAAGAACAAGAGGAAGACAGAAACATCGAAAGAGAGACCGAGAGAGAGAGAGAGAACAAAAAAAACAACAACGACAAAGAAAAATATTAAGAGAAAGATAAACGCAAAAAAAAACAAAAAAGATAAAGAGGAAGCTAAAGAGAAAGATAAAGAGAAAGATAAAGAAAATAGTCAATGAATGGCGAACAACACAAATCACCATGAACACCTATATTTTCGAACCTACCGCCCACCGGCTTCTTAACCCCTGAAACGCGCGTGATAAGCACGTTGTAGTGCTAGCAGAAAGCTTCTGAAGCAGTGTGAACATCCCCCGAGGCTGCACAGTTTAGGAGCACTCGTCTGCTGAAAAGTTGCTTGTGTGACACACACTCACGAGTTTCACACTCTGCAATGGTCCAAACATGAGCTCCAGTGCCAAGTCGTCTTTGCAGAGTGCTAACATTGCTCAGTTGTGGACCAGAAAGGCAGGTGCCGTTGACTGGTGACACTATGTGACACTTCCTTGAGTGCCCAGTGCGGCTGTTTGCAAAACGTATACAATACTTGCGGCTCTTGCCGTGCGAATTGACTCGCAGTTTGCCAGACTCCCCTGGATCGCTCGACCAGCGGGGCAGAGATCAGAACACTGGAAGCACCTTAGCACCTCGGCACGCGAATTCATTGGATGGAATCCATCAAATCCATTGCCATGCGGGTGTGTCCTGAAATAGGGAACCTCAAAATGGCTGCCTTCCTTCTTTAAACCCACCCCCAAAAATGGCACCCTCAACAAAATACACCTCCATGGACTCCATTGTAATGTCGGGACCCGATTGATCAAGGGTACCAAATAAAATACAGTTTTTCCACAAACAGTCTCTGCCCTGAAAAGAGGTACCTAATACATCCTAATAGCATACTTGTTTGGGTTTGGACAACATCTGGTTTCGGCTATGTTCCATTTGCCCCCCAGCCCTGCCATAAAGCCTCTCTTCTTATGCATGTTTGCTTTTCTCCTACATTGTTCTCCGGACTGCCCTCAGATCCCCTGCCTTTTTGGTTTAACCTTTAGTGAGTTGAATGGACATCCCCACGAAACCAGCTAAAAGACCAAAAAGTTGTAAACCGGATGCCTGGGAGCCAAGAAAAACAGCTGTGCCCGAGACCACAAAAAAAATCCCATGGGGAATTACGTGGCCACCGCGAACACTCAACCACAGAAATTAACAAGGGGTACCCAATTGTGCAACCTTTTCCGGCCCTTTGCCAAACCAACCAAAAGCGAGCATTCACGTAGCACAATACTAAGCCAATACTAAGCCAATACTAAGCTAAGACAAAACCAATACCAAGCGAGTGCTAAGGCAGCCCGCAGCAATACAAGGCCAGTACTAAACGAATACAAACCAGTACTAAGCGAGTACAATGGCAGCACAAAGCAATACTGAGACAATACTAAACTAATACGAACCAACACTGTACGAGTATTCAGGTAGCACTAAGCGATACTAAACCAATGCAAAACTGAAACAAACCAATATTAGGCGAGTACTAAGCCAGAGCAAAGCAATACTAAAGCAATACTACACAAATACAAACCACTACTAAGCGAGTACTAAAGGCAAAGCAAAGCAATACTACACTAATACACACCAATACTAAGCGAGCACAAAGGCAGCACAAAACAATACTAAACCAATACGGCCAGTACTTAGCCTCCCCAAATTGTTGTACTGGGTTTGCTTGTTCAGTCCCACAAATTATTCATCAGTGACCCACACTATCCTTGTCAAAAAGAACCAAACTCCTGCTTCGGAGAACCGGCAGATATTTTGACACCAGAAAAAAATCTCTGGGCATGTCTTCGCCTTTCAGCCAATCGCAAGCAATGTGCCATCCAGCCTCAATGCTTTTCCACCAAACTATCCAATAGCACACCACAAGACGTCACCAAAACCAAGCACTCTTGATCACTCAATTGCCACCGGATTTATCAACCATGTATTCAGAGACCTTAAATAAGAACCCTTCATATTTATTGCTTTAAAGGATGTTGAAGGTCTGCTCAGCCCGGGCATATGTCTGCATTCCATGGCTCACCTTGGCACAGCTGTCATGTCATCGCGTTCTCTGCTTCAACTGCAAGTAAAACAACTGAAGCACAGTACTTAGGGTTCGAGGCCCATTGGGTTCGAAATTTAGTTGTTCAACTCAAGGCTCTCAAGGAGATCGCTTTGAAGCATGTCCAAAATATATTTCAGACATTGGAACCTCGCTTTTCCGTTTGTGTGGGATTCTGTGTGCGCGTGTAATTTTGTGATTGATGTTGTGTGATTCTGTGAGTGACTCACCCTTCAAGACAAAAGGCCCTTAATGGCTGTCTCAAGGCTCCAGCGGGCCGGTGCCGTGCATGTCTAGCTCAGTGTTCAGCCTTGGCCAGGTGGGTTGGAGAGAAGGGACACTACGAGGTCCTCCAGAGAGGTTAGAATAAGGGCCCAACCAAAAAAGGGTAAAAGGGCACTACTGGGGGACCTAGACTAGGAAAGCCTCTACTTTTGGGACCTGTGAGCCTTCACGAAGGCAAAGGAGCCTGGCCGTTTGTGGCTGCCGGCAGTTTCCACGAATCGATGTCCATCCACTCGATCGGATCTCGATTGGAACGCCGAAACCGACCAACCTCACAATGCGTGGCTTCAGGAAGCAGGTCCCGGCCACCATGGGCAGAAGGGGAAATAAGTAAAACTGGCTCCTCCAGTAGAGAGGTGAGAATAAGGGTACCCTTTTTCTGCAATCTATTTTAGTAGGGCAACCCTCCCAACCAAAAAAGGGTAAAAGGGCACTACTGGCGGCCTCTTCGTTCTTCTCCAGAAATCTCCAGCAAGACTCTCTGTACAACAACCAGGCTTTGTGTTGCGCAAACGCGCAACGAAGAACATCACTCGGCTAAAACTCACACATAAGACGAAAAAGCGTGCCCAACCACCTCCAGACTTGCACGTACTTGGAGCAGCATCCTCCAGGTCCCAAAGAAACAAACACCACCGTTGTTTTTTTTTACTTTCTGGGGATGTGTTTTTTCTTTAAGCCCAGCACTTCGACCCTCAAGCCTCTGAGCAACCGGGCCAACCATAAGGCATGTTTGGCATGTTCTGCTGCTGCCCCTGGCATGCCAGCCGAGTTTTGTTTTTTCTCCGATGCTAAAGGGAATCAAGACGCCGCAGCACGTTGATCCAATGGGGCCATGGGTCATAACCTATGCCTCCAAATTGGGGCTTTCATTAACACCCATGTACCGCCCATTTTGATGTTCACCAGGGGTACAGGGTTTTGACCCACAGCCACAGTTCAACCTCCCAGCTGCAACTGTGGATGCGTGTCTGAAGCGTAAGGTCCTTGACTGGGAAGCATGCAATGGATACCACATCACTGTTGGCACCCTGGGACCCTTGCGATGTGGACACATTCGTCTCACTCCTCTGGTGGGAACTCCCAATCGAAGGTGGATGGTATGGTCGTCAGCATGAGAATCACGGTCAATCCCATAGGTTCATGGCCAGGCCCGTTTATCAGCATGCTGGAGCGCAATGGGTTGGAGAAGTCTGCTGCACAGGTCAGGCTGCATGTTGCGGCCCGAAGAAGGGAACTGCTTCGAATTCTCTAAGTGGCTGTGGGTCAAAAGTAGGCACCCAAAATGGAACCCTGGTAAAGGAAAACAAGGACTAAAACCTGCGGTCCCCTGGTGGTTCATTTTTGATCCACACCCAAGTATCGGGAAAGCAGGATGTGCATGGATTTGCTCAATCCTCTAGCTCACAACGTAGCTGCAATTTGGCATGTCAACGACATCATTCGCGCCTGGGCTAGAACTCGCTCATGTGCAACGCAAGTCAACCTTCAAATTGATGTTTGGGGTGAATGGTTGTTGCTGACCAAACATTCAGTACGCTCAGCGCATCTGGCCATGGGCACTTTTGCTGTTGAGCGAGAAAGATAATTGTCAGGCTTCTAATTCACAGTCCAAAGACATAGCAACAATTTGCGTGTCAGCTCATATCCAGTGTTGGCGCTATGAGAAACCTGCGAAATTTTCGGGGGGACCCTTTGCTCACTCGCCACTTGTCCCTGGTCTCCACGTTCGGCCCTCTGCACTCCCGTGCGCCTGTCCGTCTCGTTCAAGCCTCAGCTCTGGCAGGCCTTTCTACCAGATTTCGCAGATTTGGTCTCAAAGTTCTTGGTAGCGAATGGTCCTTTTGAGAGGGACGAGAAGGGGGACGAGGTCGAAAGGTACGTTTCCGGATCCATCTGGGTGAATTATCATATTTCACCAACCTGAAATAAGGTGGTTAGGGAGCTATTCCCCACATAAACTACCATTTGGGGTGAGGTCGTGTGAGGTCGTTAATTACAATTCACCCAGATCCATTTCTGTAATAGTGTTGGCCTTGTATGTCAGCTTCTGTGTGCAGGTCGACGCCATCTTTGGCTCTGGTGTCCAGGCAGTCGGCGCATGGATCAACAACTATATCTTCAGGACAGCTATGAGTCGGTCTGCCACATGTGTCTGGTGTCAAGCACAAAGACACACGCAACTTTCAGCCCGCAACACACATGAGGAAGCCCCCCTTGTCCGTACGAAACGCTAGTCAAAACTCAAAGGCCGAACCTTGCAGAGTGCAATTGGAGAGCTCTGAACTGCCACGCAATAAAAAACAAAACAAGAAGTACCTGCAAACCAAGCCAGCTAGCCAACGCCAGTTCAACTAGTGCGACTGGAACTTCAGCAATACTAATTCATGTTTGGACAAGGTCACATCCCACATACGGGGACAAAACACAGTGAACAATTGAGCACATTGATGAACTTACAATGAAGACAACACTGGTGACAACGATCAGCAACGCAACACAACAAGAAACAAACAAACAGAATAGCAAGAAAGTGCAAGAAACCGCAAGCCGACGGCAACTGTGGCATGCGATCGCCACCACTCTCTCCGCCCTGACTCAGCATCCGACCAGCTGGCCGAGCTTACAGGGATGCCTACCCAAGTCACGCCTCACGCGCGTGAGCAAAACACGGCACGGGATGGCTCACAGGAAACCTTGACAGCATCCGTTTGGTTGGCTGGCTGAAAATGACAAGACAATGCCTTCTGCCTTGCAAGACCAAGGTGTGCGCCGTTTGACCACAAAACACAAGTCCTTGTCGGTAACTCAATGTACAGACTCCGTGAGCGACAGGCGCAATTGGACCTCGCCAAAGGTTCATATCCAAACATCTTCGGGTGTCACATGAGACACAATTTCCCTGGAAGAAACAACCTTCTCTGACCTTTGCTGACATCTTTCTTCCGGGAGCGGTGTCGAATTTATATTTCTGGGCTTGCAATGTCAATCATGTCTTGAATGTCTTGAAAAAAGGGACAGTGCCAACAAAAGATTCAAATCAGCCAGCTTTCAGATTCTACCAGGCTCAACCAGAGATCATCCAGGTGCGTATGTGTCAAAGGACACCCCGAAACGATGGCTTTCCTCTTGACTTCAACAAACCCAAAAATGATATCCCCAAAGCACAACCAGCATACACACACACACACGACTCTTGTGCCACAGTTCAATGGCCGCCGAATGCTCCAGGAGGACCCTCCTTCACATTGCCTCCCCTAGCACAGTCCTGTTTTCAACAATGAACACCATCTTATCCAACTCCGGCAATGAAAGGTGCGAGGCATTGGGAAACAGCAACTCGGAAGATCCGAGCAGCGACAATGTTTCATAGTTGGTTGCCTCCTGGCCTGATGACACCCCAAGCTCCCGCCCTGTTCAGAGACCAAACCAGCTATGTCTCTCGACAGGACCACAAGATACAAGCAGCAATGAGCGAGTAGACAGCAAGCAACACGTTATCCCAGCACACCCTCTTCACAACACCTTTCCACGACGATGCACCTGAAAATTGCTTGGACAACTTAAGCCAGCATTAATCAGCAGAATGCCCCGAATCCGAACACTCCGCACAGACCGAATGCCTCCGCTGTTGAAGGCGGGCATCTTGGAGAGCGGGGCTTGCCCTTGCACCCTGGGCACGAACGTGAAGTACTTCAGCGTTTTAGGTGCGAGAACCTCTTTGCTATTGCAAAGTCGATAGGTGCAATACATCGCAATACATAGTGTCATGTCAAAAGGCTCCTCTCTTCTACATGCGCAAGGTTTGCAGGCAGAAACCCCCTCCCCTCTAGAGTTGAGTTCATCACAAGGTTATTAGAAGGAGGCCTCTCTTCGACACACGCAGCCAGGAGCCTGGGGGGTGGCCACATCTGTAGCCTGAAGCAACCATGTTTGATGGGACAAATGTTCAATCAATGTCAACAAATGCTCAATCAATGTCAACTGAAAAAGGATACCCCTTTTTTTCCTGTAGCTCCCCCAACAAAGGGCAAAAGGGCACTGCTGGGGGACCTAGTCAAAGCCATTCCTGCATGCTGCTGAGCTTTGCATTCCTTCCACTGGTTCATGCCCCTCTCTCGCTCTCAGAGATCCAGCTTTAGCACCGAACGAGCTACACTCAACTACATTTTGAATGTGGAATACGTAGTGTACAAAATTCCGTGGGGCGGAGCAGAACGCATGTTTTTATAAGGGCAAGCATATCTCTCAAGCGGCCACAAAGAGCATTGTCCCTGGATTCTCATCCAATGATCAAGGAAACACCTGGTTGATGCAAGAAGGGGTGGTCACCCAGGTAGTATGCCCATCGGGCTCCCTACCATTGGGCTCCCTACGGGATCTAGGATCTCAATAAACCCTTTCTACACAAACACAGCCCCCAACTGCCACCGCCACCGCAGCCACAAGATCCACAAGATCAGCAATAGCTGCCACACAGCAAAGACGCCGACGACAACGCCAGACAGCAGCAGCACGACAGCAGCGGCAAGACGGCAGAAGCAAGACAGCATCAGCACGACAGCAGCAGCAAGACAGCAGCAGCAAGACAGCAGCAGCACGAGCAGCAGCAGCAGCACGACAGCAGCAGCAGCAGCAGCAGCAGCAGCACGAGCAGCAGCAGCACGACAGCAGCAGCAGTAGCAACAGCAGCAGCAGCAGCAGCGACGACGACGACGACGCCGACGACTCCTACAACGATAACAACGCCGACAATGACAATGATGTTTCTTGTCGAACGGACTTAAGTGTATAATTGGCCAGTCTCCGGCTTTGACGGTTTCCCATCTGGATCCTGGACCCATCTATCGGCCAAGAAGCTTCTTTTGCGCGTTCGACCGCTTCTTGGCCGTCCTCGCAGCAAGAGTACTATGTGCTAAACAAATGCAAAGCATCAGACTTGAGATGTTTGTCAATATCAGCACACTGCTTAGCACCCGTCTACATTTGGCTGCTGAGCAGGTCGTGAAAATTACATAAGCCTAACCAGGCCTCTTGCATGATCCCGGCTTGGCGCCTTGCCAGCAAATGAACCTGTGAGATGGACATGCATCTAAGGGTGCTCGCCACAGTCTTGAGATGTGCTCAAAGCTTTCTAAAACAATCTGGCGTCTCGCTAAACGTCCCACTTGAACTGCGCAACTTGTCTGCTGTGCAACGAACGAGCCCAGTGTATCTTTCTCCATGTCTACGGTGAGAAAACGGAACTACGCATTGATGAGAGCTCTTTTTAGGAAAATATCACTCCAGATTTCCAGTCGCCGCCAAGAGCAATCCAGTTCAGTTTTTGGGCCGCAGCCGCGTTTGGCACAAATCCGCAGAATCCATGGCATTTTTTGGGTTGCTCCATGTTCGGCCGCAAACAAGATCTCTCTCTTCACAATAAGGAATGCCAATGAACAAACGGTCCAGAAAGCCGCCCAGTGTAGTTGCCAAAGCCGTGCTCGGAGACCAGAAAGGACCAAAGCAACAAAAATCAGGAGCTTGGCCATGGGTCAAAATCCCGTACCCCCAGTGAACATCCCAATCCCCACTAAAATAGGTTCTAAAATGGGTGGTGCACCTACCCCAATATGGTCCGATTGGTTTTGACCCACAGCCACTTTTTCTGGCTGACAGGTCCACACTTCCATAGAATTTATCGCTCAAACTGCATGGGTCTCTCGATTCCCTCTTCCCGGCCTGTCATCCTCACCTCAACCACGGCAAGCGTCGCTTGCGAAGCTGCACATAGGGCCGGAGCACGCCCTTTGTGTTTCAAGCAACAAAAACAAAAGAATGGCTGGGGAGACGCCTTTTGCTTCCGGAGCTTTGACATCACGCTTGTCCCAAAAGACAAGGGGATGTCTAAATGAGCACCGGGACCATGAAACATGGCCACTTGTTTGAACCATGTCGAAAGGTTGGGGAAAATGGGGACACCTTGTCATTCAACAAGTACAGCTTTTTTGGATCTGAAGATACATCCACAAAACGAACCAGTTGATTCATGACAACCTACTGTAGGTGCATCAGTTGGTAGGAGGTTTACCCCATCATTTATAGGGTTTCATCCGTCCCAAGGTGCAGGACAGTGAATACTGGTTGATAAAACAAAATCTATCACCTTGGACTTTCCCCATTGGCGAAGGAATTCCTAGGTTCCACGTTGTTTGCGCAAAGGAAAGATGCATCAACTGCCGGTTCACAGTCTGCCAAAGGAGCCGCCCGGGAATTCTCGAATCTACCAACTGCCTTTTGGACGTTAAAGGCAGCCACAAAGGACTCAACTCTTATTGGTTCCGCGAACCCGTGACAAAATGGCAGGCAACTCAGGCAGCCATGACTTGTCCTTCTCCAGAAACTTCGGGGCTGAGACTTGAGACATGCAAAAGCTTTGCATATGGGTGTGGTGGTCAAAATTAAACCAGGAATCGGACCGAAGGTTTTTGTCTATGTTTCCATTTACCAGGGTTTTTTTTGGGCCCCTATTTGTGAGCCACAGCCATATGGTTTGCCTTTTGTAGACAGTGTTCTGGTGAGTTGGCTGGCAATCTGGCAATGCAATCGGTGTCCTTTTGGGGCCCAAAATGGCATGAGAACCAGCTGAAACCAAAGATGTCTACTTTCAGCCGTTGGCGGTTTGCCTGGTTAGCGAACCTTGTCTTGATCTGGTTCAGATTGGCCGACTTGCGGCGCTTCCAAGTCTCGATGTTCTGCAAAAGGCCGTGGGAAATCTGGAAAACACCCCAAAGTGAAGGGGTTTCGAACTCAATTTGTTCTCTGCCGTTTTCTTCTTGGCGCTTGCCCCCAAGGAATCATCCGCGCAAGCCAATCCAGATCCAGCGATCCAGCGATCCGCTTGGCCCGCGGCTTTCCTGGCGTGCCTGCAGCGCAGGGGTTTTTGGGTGGGTTTATGGCGCGTTCTCCAAAAGCGCATCGCGACATGCGAAGCTCTGAGACCCATCTGCTCGTGGGGAACCCCGTCTGGTGGATCAAAGAAGCATCGAGATGATGTTGTTTGCTCCGGCGCGCGATCAAAAGGACTTCGCACGGCATGAAAACTCCGATGAATTACCCCCTATCTATGGGACGTACTCAACCTGATTAACCCACATCAGCAACCTTAAGATACCTCAAGCAAACTCTAGGTGTCCGGTCTTTTCAGGATTTGGGGCGGGGACGGGAGGGAGGGGTTTGGGAGGGAGGGGGTTGGGAATCCCGGAAAATGTGTGCGTTTCAGGACTTGCTTTGGCCAGGCCGGTAACACTGTCCTTTACATAGTAACTTAGCTAGTTAGACATGCTCTGCATTCAAGAGAGGCACGCCGTGCATTCAAGAGAGGCACCCACTGCACTTGTCAACGTCATTGCCACACATGCATCGAATGCGTGTCTAAGAAACTGTTCCATAAACATTATAGATATTCCGGACCCTAAATAACAGTATAAACGGCTATGTATTCCCATGTTTGTGGTGGACGCGTGGCACATCTACCTTTTGAAACGCTTGAAAGGGGGTTTTAACGTCCACCGCATCGTTCCCTGTATGGTCCTAAAGGCCAGTGACCGATCGCTGGAAACGTACTTAACGCAGTCGGCGTTGGGAATCAGACTCAATCACTCAGAAAGCGGTGTCACACATACAAACTCCAGACCGTTCATGGAACACTTGTCCACTGTGAAGAGGACACCGTTTGGAATGTTTGCAGTGCACCAGGGTGAAAGTAGATGGCGCAATTCCGCTGCCGAAGCATTGGTTCGAAGAGGCGCACCCGGAAACCTTACGCTCTCTACGCTCCATACCGCAGGATGACACCGAATGTGTGGGGCCAACGGAGTAGACTCAACTCAATGCAAGACATTGAGTGGTGCGTTTGTGTGACTAGCTCAGTGTTGCTGGCTGCGCGAACATGCTGCCTTGCGTGAAATTCGGATCGTCCTTGTGTGGTGTTTTCTCGGCAAATTCTAGCGACTAGCAACCTATTGTTGGGGGTCCATTCATTTCAGATTGGTGATTTGTTCCTGCACGCTATGAGGGCCTCTCCCCGGTACGGTTTCACGACGTGAAGTGCCAACACTCAAAATTCCTCCCGCACACACCTCCTCAAAGCAGGATCCCACCACACTCTGTGTGGCGCACATCACAACCGTTGGCTAGGTCCTCCAGTAGAGAGGTTAGAATAAGTTCGTACCCGTTTTGTTTCCTCTTTTTTTCGGGAGTCTATTTTTGTAGGGGAACCCTCCCAACTAGCTGTTAGTTGGTGCTGTTTGTTCTCACATTTTCGTCCAACCCCGTCTTCCTCGCGCCTGCACGGGCTCCTGGTTGGACCTTGGCTGCTGAAAGAGGCAAGCAATGCCCCATCGGGGGTCCCATCGGACCAACCCTTTTAATTAGTAGACAAAGAAAATCGGACTTCGTGACCAGTTTGTGATGGGAATCCAAGGAACAAAAGTGAAACTGAGTGAACAACTTGGCAGCTCAAGGCTCCAAACATATGACGACATCCAAGGGCCGCTGGGGGGGGGGACCCAAAGCGCACCCTTGGGGTGAGACTAAACATGGGCTGGTGTTTTGTTTTTGAAGCGCCATTCTGGCAACCTTGCCACCCGGCACGCACGAAAGGGCAGTATCCAAGTCTACAACAAGGCTGGCTGGTTTGGCTGGTTAGCTGGGTTGGTTGGCTTGGGTTGTCGGGTTGCCGGCGGTTGTCTTGATAGCTGGTGGGTGGGTGAGGGCGCTTGTGGCTGGGCGGTTTTGTTGGTTAATTGGTTGGTTGGCTGGCTGACCAACCACTCCCCCCAGCCCACCAACCACCCAACGCCTACCCACTTGTCCACCCAGTCCATATATCATCCATGTAAATGCAAATTGATATTCTGTCCATGTTAAACCACCCACCCACTCACTCACCCACCAACCAACTAGGGAGCCAGCCGACCCGCTAGCGACTGCCCTGCCAACCAAAAAGACGAACCCAACAAGCCCACCCACCCCACCCGCCCGCCCGCCAACTCACCCCCCGCACCGCCCGCACCGCCCGCCCGCCCGCCCACCCACCCACCCGCCCGCCCGCCCACCCGCCCGCCCACCCACCCACCCACCCACCCACCAGCCATCGAGCCGAGCGCTCACCAACCAATCCGCCAACCCAGCAACCAACCAGCCGGCCAGCCCAGACCATGCCGTCAAAAACGATTTGCTCCCAAAGGACAAATTTGGTTGTCTTTACTTGGTAGATTTGGGTAAGTGTAAATGTGTCCTCCCTCACGGACGACAACAACATGCTCTGTGTTTGCACATGCTGGCGATCTGATGTCAGTATTGAAGCTTTGCAATCGGGTGAAGAATCACGTCATGAAGACATGTGTCTCCTCCATGGAAACAAGTCCGTTTTCCTGAGAAAATGCACACTCGTCCGTGCCAACAGGGGGGCTATGCCAACTGCGCAGCGCCCAACAGCCCAACACCCGTTGACTGTTGGTTCTAGAAGGATCTGTTCAGGGAATAAGTACTATACTCCTTCTTAAACCAGGTGGTAGAACTATACATACAACTCAATTGCCCGGGTACCTCCCAAAAGGTCGAGAAGCACTTTGCGAGGATGAGTCGCTTCATATGCTTCTCGAAGTAAAACCAAAATGGCCCAGACTTACGGCTGCCGAGGAGCCTGAGAAGCGCTTGCGTCACGCCGTCCTTCCTCAGACGCCCGCCAAGGAAGATCAAATGAGGTTCGATATTGCCATGGTTATTTCTCATCCAGCAGGAAGCTCAAGCCAACAAGTAATCCTGCCATGCAAATGCCGCTTGCAAGCGAATGCAAGATTCGCGGCGTATCAAATGAGTGTCGTTGCTCATGCAAATGGCTCTCACACTCTGAATTAGAGCATGTTAATGTGCAGGACGCAGGCCCGATTGTTAGCAGAGTCTGTGCAGCTCTTTAAAGAGCAAGCAAACTCAAGGACCCTCAAGAATCACGTCCATTTGCTTAAGCCCCCCGGGGAAAAACAACAAAAGAACATGTCCAGTATAGATTCCCTTCAAAACCAACAGGGGACAATTCAACACTCTTTTCTGCAAATGGGAGATCAAAGGGCGGCAAACTTGAAGGCGCTTGACCAACGTTCTCGCGGCAAGTGAGACATCTGCCACGGTGAGCCCCTTGATTTAGACTGTCTGCAATGGTCTGCAAGGTGCCTAGAACCGAGCACGAAGCCGATGATTTTTTTTTCTGGCGAAGCATCCTACGAAGGCAGCTGCCCTTGTTCGCAAGCGCTTTCATTTCAATCTGAGATCCTAGCTGCTTCTTCTCCTGGGCAAACGCCAGCATGCGGCATTGACTTTTGGTGACTTGGCAGGTTCTGTCAGAATTGGTTTGGAGTTGGGCAGACGTGTCTCTCTGCAAGTTTTGCCCAACAGGCTTGTCCGGATCAGAGTTTAAGCTCGGTATGGGCTTGGAGAGTTGTGTCGTTGTGGGCGTTAATCCCCCATCCTGTTGACTCCAGTCCAACCAAATCCACGGCTGACGCGGCAACTTTAACAGGCGCCACTTCAGCAAAATATTGTACGCATCTAGGATCGGGATGCATCAACCCAATTGGTGAAGTAATGTGAGTGTCAGGCATGGGAGCCATGCGTTTCTTGGCGTGGTCAACGATCCCCGCGGTGCCAAAAGCCCGAAGATCCGGAAGATCCCCCCCAATTCCCTTGAAGACATTGGCATTGCAGCTAGAATTGCAGCAGCGAACAACTTGCCTTCCTGTCGCCTGCTATCCGTCTTCCATGTTCGCAAGATCTCGGAAGTCGCAACAAATGAGATGCCTGTGGAAACCGCGAACGGGAAGGGAGTTGCCACAAAAGCTCCCAAGACGTGTTGCATTTTCGTTGGAAAAACCTGCAAGATGGGGCGCGGCCTGAACAAGCCAGGATCAAGGCTGGCGCACATATGTGGCCATGCTTCAAAACCGACACTATTTTGGGATAGGTGAATTCACCACCCATTTTAGAACCTATTTTAGTGGTTTGGATTGGGATGTTCACCGGGGGGTACGATTTGGATTTTGACCCATGGCCATGTGATCTATAGCCTGAAAGGCTCATCCGTGGGTTTGTGAATATGGCCATACGCCTGAAATTTATCGCCAAGCAGAAGGGATCCACCGTCCGCAGCTTTGGAGGACTTCGGCTCTATCGGCCAACTAGAAGTCACCGGAAATAGGACTTGGATTTTTGAAACACTAGGTCCTCCAGAGAGGTTAGAATAGGGGTACCACCATTTTTTCTGTAGTCTGTTTCCCCAGCTGAAAGCTTTGGGGTCTCAGCCCAGATAGGCCCCGGGGTGGTCTGGAGGTAAGGTTTCACGAGGGTTCCACCAGGGCTCCACGAGGGTGCGAGCACTAAAAAGAGCACCGCATGGGGATATCACCTGAGCTTATTCAGTAGGGGAACCCTCCCCCAAAAAAGGGCAAAAGGGCGTAAAGGGCACTGACACAGGCAAGGAAGGAAAACTCACTCTGGGCGATGTTGTTATGCTCATGACCAGCTGTCAGCTTTCGAGCAGCTGCGGAGTCGCGACTCGGCTCCGGCCTGCACGGGCCTCTCCCTTGGCCGCAGCTCCGGGATGGGGCGAGAGAAAAGGCGGCTGTGGTCAAAACCGTTAAAGGGGATCCCATTTTGGTTGGGTGAATTCACCACCCAACTTAGAACCTATTTTAGTGGTTGGATTGAATCGGTCCCGTTCACTGGGGGCTAACCGGATTTTTTTCGGATTTTGACCACCATGGCCATACATGTTGATTGGGGGACCCTTTGGCATCATTTAAAGCAGGGGATTGATGTCCACCACTTGTTTTTCTCGGAAAAGTCCAACCTTAGAGTCCGTTACCAGGGTCCAAACGGCTCCAAGCCACAGGCAGTGATGCCTCTCTTGTGGGAAGCTACCAGGAAACTTGAGG